TAGTATATATATATATATATATATATATATATATATATATAGTCAAGCTTCTTCGACTTCTCCTTTTCAATTGTTATTATTTCTCGCCTTCCTAAAGACGAATATTTACGCCAAGCTTCTCGCTTCTTGCTCTCGAATCTACTCAATAATAGGATTTAATGTCAAGACGTTTAAAGATATTGGAGCAAATTTTCATCCAAACTCACATAATTCTCTCTTATCCATTCGTGTGCCATTTAAAAACCGCTCACTTAATATCAAAACTTTTCCTCGAACCTTTCATCATCCCCGTGACTCGAAATCGCAATGACGAAATCAGCAGGCAGACACGGGACGATCGCGAGGAGGGGGAGGCGCGATCGGCGCGATTCCGCAATTCTCTCGTCGGACAAGAGCGTTTAGCCGGAGTTGTACGTATCGCGATGGGAAGAGAGAGAGTTAATGCCGTCTAATCCGGAGACAAAGGGAGCCACGGCTGGCGTTTCCAAGGTGGTCGATCGGTCATCCGAAATGCTCGCGTGTAGAGATGATGCCGATAATCGGAGCGACCATCGTTCCGGAAGATCGACGCATCCTACCTTTCTCTCCCTCTGTATACACACACATATATATATATATATATATACACATACATATGTGTTCGAACGAGAGGGAACAAGGGAGGGAGAAAGGAGAGGAAGAGGGCAGGAAACACGAGCGGAAAAGCGGCTTTATCCGCGGATCGGAAGAGATAGGGAATTCTAAGTAATGCGGTGGCCGGTTGCCGCGCGTAGGCGCGGTCACGCTACGTTGAACAGGGCTCAGTCACGAGACACAAATATTTGCTCGTTGTTACGGCAGGTGGTGCAACGTTTAAAACCCTTCTGCATCGACTCCCTGCGCCTCCCCCCCTCTTGCTTAACACGTTCGTCGCCACGTCACCCATATATGGGTGACGCTTTCTTTTTCAAAAAAAAAAAGAAAGATTTCAACCATTTATATTTAAGAAAGTTATCAATCAAGTAAGAAGAGCTCCCTGGAATGTTATATTGTATTATATATAAGTGTATTATACATATAAAATGTAATTATATTATACATATATTTACTAATGTAAATTTATGTGTAATAATAAAATATATAGATAAAGATTATATGGCGACATATGAATGCAAAGAGTTAAAGGGGAATTTTAAAAGAATTGAATGGAATAAGCACTGAAATATAAAATATAAAATATACTTTGGAATTTAAAATTTAAGAATATAATAGAATATAATGGAAACAGAAAAGAGGGACAAATATGATTTGTTAGCGAATCATTTTTATACAATTTGAAATCTAAAATTATATGGTATATGGCAATATAGGAGGCTGTCATTACCACCGATAATATAGAACTGAGTTTAAGTTGCCAATTAGAGGCTTATATTCATCAAAATGCTTAAAATTGACTTTGGAAACGGGATATAGGGAGCGAAGAAGTAGAAGTAGAGGCACTGAAAACAACTAATTCAGTATCGGTATTACAGAATTAGTTAATGAAGAACTAATATATATATAAATATATCCCAACTAAATTTTATATTAAAATATATAAAATAAAAATATTAAAACTATTTCCGTTTATCGCTCTGTTTACGTTCTTACGGCCTTCCGACAGTAACGTTTGAGGAACTCAACGAAATCACGACGAACGTGTTAATATTCAGGAACGCTTTCCTCCGCGTCCCTCCCCCATCCGATCAAACCGATTGTTTCTCAGTTGTAGTTGATGATCACTGTAATTCTATCATATTAATACAGGTATAATTTCGGGGGAATGGGTTTGGGCAAACGATTGCAAAGGGACCGAGGAGGGAATTATAATCAAAGGGAAATCGAATCGCGCGTAACGTTCGAGATAAACGAGTCGAGGTGGATGATATTTCCTTTCTCTCTTCTCTTTCTTTTCTTTTCTTTTAGATCGAAGAAGAGAGGGATCTGTTCAGGGGAAAGGTTTATCTCTCGATCGGAGGAGTACAATGGAGGCAATTTTCAGTCGCGATTCCGATCCCTTTTGCCGTTTATATCCATCGTTGATAACCATCGTTTAAAGTTTACGCATTTAGGCGTGTGTGCAGAGGCGCGATAAAGTTGCAGTGAATCAATCGGTCAACGTCAGACACAGAAACTGACATTAATCGGTCGTAGCGCAGAAAGGAACCGCAGTAAGGCTAAGGAACATTCATTTCCTCCGATCGCCGCTGGCAGAAAGTTAGTTTAACTGGAAGGTCCGGGAAAGTTTTAATTGGTTTGCGAAGTTATTACAGCGGAATGAGACAGAAGACGCGCACTTGTTAGTTGAGGAGGAAACGTTGCCGATTTCTGGGCCGGCAAAGAATTTTCATTGCTGTTCTAACGTTTGCTTATATCGTCGATCGATCACGTCTTCAGAGAATTATTCATTTTTTGGATTATATATGTATTCGTTCCTCGACTCAAGCGAGGAATTTCAATTTGATGAGGCGCCACGATTGATTATCATATTTATTATTGTTATTGGCACTTTTTATAAATAATTTTTGATCGTGTAATGCTCGATAATACGTGATAATAGATAATAATCTGGATTATGAAAACGCGAATAACGCTTATAATCGAATTAATATCATTGGAAATTGGACGAATCTCGAGTAACGTGTCATCACAGCTGTACAGTTGTTTAATTGGAAACTATAATGGAACGAATCAATGATCGTTTTTGACATAAAATTGTACACGAAGTCGTCGTTTGATTTCCATTTTCTGTTTGTTTAAACTCATTCAATATCTACTACCAGTAAATTTCATTCAGCCGAATTATGAAATTACTTTACTTGATATTCATCAATGGAGGTTCATATGATGCGTATGTTGCGAAGAAGGCAATTGAAAGAAATATTATGGATAAATTGGAACGAACGAACGAGCCAGTGGACATTAACGTACGATATTTTTTTATACCGTAGAAAAAAATAATAATTCCATGCAATTAAAAAATTTCACATAAAATACTGCAAAGAATAAATCTTAAGCTTTTCGATCGATATCGAGAAAAATGTCGCATCGTACGGGATCGCGTGTCGGCGAACGATCGAGTCGCCTTTCCAATTGCCGACTTATCAGCAACGAGTGTAATTCCATTTCCATGGAAATACACCGATTTCCAGATACGACGAATTCGCGATCATGCAAACGGGAAATATTTACCTAAAAATATTATTATTACGTATTTTCCAACACACCTGTATACCTATATATAGAGTTGACACGTTGCACGTGGCGAGTCATCACCTCGATGCTGGCCTCTTCCGACTTGTAATGATTGAAGAACGTGTGATCCGCTTGCAGATACAACATACAAGTGGTCTTCTTTGGATCCACCGAGGTTCGTTTGCGGAGCACTCTCGAATATCGCTCCCTGTACAATCTGATTACAAACGAGTGGGAAAAAAAGAAAAAAGAAAAAAAACAAATTTCAGTACGAGTATTTACCTCTTGATATTCTACATACAGTTGACAATACGAGTTTCGATAAGTTCGATTTCACGCGGATTTTTTTGACAGTATTTTTTTTTTTTTTTTTTAATTATATTCCGCTCGATGGAACTGGCGAGCTATCCCAGAAATTGTTGTATTTCCACGGATAAAAAATTATAGGATCCCTTTCAATTTTACCGTGGTATCCAATCGCCCTTTTTTTTCCAAAAAAAAAAAAATACGGTTACTCCGTTATTATTTCGCAATTTTTTTTGCGTACAGTGTTTTAAATACAATTTTAAAACATTCGAAAAAGGTCAATAACAGCATCGTCGATTCAAAACCAGTTACCCATTCGTAGAAAAAAAAAAAAAATGGTTTAAATGCGTAGAAAGTGATAGTTTGTATTTCGTGTTTTTTTTTATTTTTTATAAAAGATATCTATGAAAAAAAAAATTAAATTCGTAATATATATATATATATCTCTTTGTCCAACACCGCTGTCCGCAAATCTGTTTCAAAGGTGAAATTTCCAGATTCTCCGCTAGGGTGATAGATATTCGAACGCTCGGCGGCCTGCGAAAAGAGCAGAAGATTTTGACGTGACGACAGTCGATTTGCCCGATACGTGATCCGCACTCGAACAACAAATCAAACGCCGCGCCTATGGAAAGAGCCGGAAACGTTCGATAAGGATAACTCGGTCGCGACAACCGGTTAAATTGGATCGGTCGATAATGCTGTTTGCTCTTGCGTTTTTTTTGACATTTTCATCGTGGCACGCGCCACCACGATTTCTCGCTACGTTCTTTAAATGGAAGCGCAAGCAAGGATTCTTGGCAAACACCAAGAATCGATAAGTCGCGCTTCTCTTTCTCTTCTCTTCCGGCTCTCTTGTTTGACTCTCTTGGCACTTTCTTCACCACCACCTGCTGGAATATTTCATCGAAGCGCACGTGGGAGGGGGAGGGGAAGACTGGTCAAATGGAGGCGTCGAAAAGAAGAAGAAAAGGAAAAGGAAGAGAGAAAAAGGATATAGGAGGGATGAGATGTGATCGAGAACGAACGACGGTGTAAAACTTTTACTGCACGGTCTGTATAACTTTTTTTCTCCTTCTTTTTTTCGAGGTTCCAGCGGCTCGTGTAAAATGGAAAAGGGGGAGGGAGGGAGGGGGATTTCAATTAGTTGCGCGAAGACATTTCACCTCCCCTCTCTTCCCTCCCTGTGCGCCCTCTCTCTCTCTCTCTCGTTTCTCTCTCTCTCTCTCTCTCTCTCTCTCTCTCTCTCTCTCTCTCTCT